TAGGATTGTTTAACTGATACATATTATAATAATAGCTAACTGAGTAATTCAAGTGATCGTCAAGAATGGCTTGTCCTTCTGGATTACTTGGATTAGTCAATTGTCATATAACCATCTAACCTAAGAAGTTGTCGTGCTATGGTTTAATATGCATATACTTACTATACTATTGCCGATTGAGTAATTCAAGCAATCCTCATGAATGGCTTGACCTTCTGGGTTACTTGGATTAATCAGTTGACATGTATACCATCAGCTAACCTAAGAAGTTGTTGTGTTATGATTTAATAATACCACCGGCTAACCTAAGAAGTTGTTGTGGTATGAGTTATATACATCAGACCTACCAGTTGACTTTCCAATGACGTGGAAGTTCATTGTTGTAAGGTAGCATTTCTAGTGTTTAACCAATATAAAACATATGAGATCCTTAAACTGAAGGGTACTTTTCATATTATTATCTTTAAAAATCTATTTACATATTTCATTTACTTAGACTAGTTATCAATTGAAGCTCACATCACAAGCTATCTCTTGTTACATTGCTTTAACAATAACTTCACTAATCTTATTTTAAATTCTAAATTATTAAAAACCCTTCGTGGGATCGATCTTGAACTTAAACCGAGAAAACTACAATTCAACCACTTATACTTGGGTGTATAACATAAATCCGATTACAAAATAGTGCGAATCAGTCTCCTTCATTAATTATTTTATTGATTGCTTTATTAATTATCATAAATCATACACTCGACTATTGATTGTGCAACATCAGTTTGGCACCGTCTGTGAAAAATGATTGATTTTTCTACCACCTTGCTACTCTCTTTCGAATCAATAGCAATTACAACTAGATCAATGAACCAACAACTTGAAGAGAACGACCCAGCTCGTCGAGAAGAGGCCCCACCTCTGCCTCCACCAGCGAAGCCGTCCACTGCAGCAAATCATGTGGTCGAGCAATAACTATTGGAGACTTTGCAGTTGCTGGTGAGTCAAAACCAGCAAATTCTCAAATTGATGCTCGCCTCAGGAGACATCGCCCCACAACCCATAGGAGGAGCACTACTACCTCAAATAGGAGAGGTACCACAGCCTCCCCACTGTAGGCACCAAGGCGCCCCCGGCGTGGCACCCAGCACCAGGCCACCCCTCACCAAGGAGTCCCCCCATTGCGCACAAGGGACTCACATGTTCCCCTTCCTCATGTACCTGCTCTACACACAGCCGACCATCCTGGGTAGGAGGATAAGGGGGAGAACTAGTATGCGGATCATGAAAGCTACTACAATAATCCAACTAAGAATGTCCCTAACCAATGGAACGACAAGATCAAGGAGGTGCAAACCATCTTAGCGATGCCCTTAACGCCATCAAAACCCATGCGCCAGAGACGGTGAATTATTTGGCAAGGCATACTGACACTCTATTTGTAGCGGATGTTGTCAACTACACTCTACCCTCAGAGTTCAAGATGTCTTCCATCTAGATCTTTGATGGCAGCAAGGATCCCCTCAATCATCTTGACTCACACAAGTCTCTCATGCAGCTCCACAACGTGCTTAATGAGATCTTGTGCAGAGCTTTCCTTACCACCCTCAAGGAATCCGCACGCTAGTGGTTCACCAAGCTCAAGCCTTTTTGCATCCACTCCTTTGCAAAGTTAAGCAAGTCTTTCGTCTCCCACTTCCTTGGGGGACACCGATATCAGAAGTTAGTTATCCACCTACTCACCATCAAGCAAGATTGAGATGAATGTTTAAGGAGTTACCTCACTCGTTTTAACGAGGAGGTACTCAAGATTGAGGAGCCAAACAACAAAGTGACCATGACCTCCTTTATTGTAGGTCTGCACTTGTTAAGCTTTATGTTTTTTGTTTTGAAAAAACCACAAACAAGCATGCCCAAGCTGTTATCTAGGGGCACAAAAATATATGAATGCCGAGGACGTCATCAAGGTCAGGTGAGGTGAGTCCTCCCACGGGAGTGAGAAGAGAAATGACACCCGTGAAGATAGAAGAGAAGAAGAAAGTAAGAAAAATAGGATGAAAAGAATGTCCGTCAAGGACGCCTCGGTCCCGCACCCTTCAAAGAGTGGCAAGCCTTTACACCACTCAATGCATTGATTGAGCATATCCTGCTCCAAATTCAGGATGATACGTTGGCCGAAAAAAATTTAAGTTTACCCCAAATCGTAAAAACCCAAGCAAGTACTGTGGTTTCCACTACGACCATGGCCATGACACTAATGACTACTTTGATCTCAAAAGGTAGATTGAGGAACTCATGCAACGTGGACAGTTGCGTAGTACGTTGCTGGCAGAGGACAAGCCCCTCCGCTTGACAAAAATCAGGATGACAGATAGCACCAGTGACCCCTCAGGGAGATCTAGATGATCTCTAAAGGGTTAGGAGGAGGTGACTCCAACTCAACTAGGAAGGCACATGCTAGGAGGGCCAGATAGGCAAAGTTAAATGGTCCTCGCCCGATGAAGACGCCCCGACAAAGGGAAGAATAGGTCATCTCCTTTTTAGATATGGACCTCGAGGGGATCCAAGTCCCTCATGATGACCTCTGGTCTTAACCATGATGGTAGCCAACTACAAGGTTAAGAGAATTCTAGTGGATAACGATAGCTCAACCAACATCCTGTTCGCACCAGCCTATGACAGCCTCCACCTTGGCAGGGAGAGATTGCAACCCATCAGAACACCCCTTGTTGGATTCTCGGGGGAAAGGGTTTATCCCTTGGGTACCATCACCTTGCCAATTGGAGCAGGGACAACGGCAAGAAGTTCTACCATCATGGTGAACTTTATAGTGTTGGACTGTCCCGCTACCTATAACATCATACTTGGAAGCCCATCACTCAACACCTAAAGGGCAATGTTGTCCACCTATCACCTTGTTCTTCGTTTCCCAACCCTCTGTGGGATTGGAGAAGTTAAAGGAGACCAAGTCTCCGCCAAAGAATGCTACATGGCCTCGATGAGGACCAAGAAACCCCAAGAGGCCCTCTAAGTGAAAGTGTTCGACCCTAGGAATGATAGGACACTGGAAACAAGGAAGCCTTGGCCTATCCATAGGACATCGAACACCTAAAGAGGTATTATCAATAGCAGGGTATAAGCCAGTGACTATAATTTTATTTGTCGTTTCAGTTGATTTATTTTGTTATCTATTATTTTATGAAATAAAACTCTAAGAAGATTATTGCATTCAGAACTGTCTAACTTTCATTTCATAAAGTTTGTAAACAGCTTACAAAAGTTAGAAAATGACCTAACAACAAGGTAGATAAAAAGATAAAAGTTGGCATACTCCGGGCAATCACTTAATACTCCCCGATCCATTCTCATCAAAGCTCTCCCAGTCACCATCTACCTCATAGGGGACGAAGTCAGAGAAATCAATAACACAAAAAGCTGTCAAGCTCTTCATAACCATCAATAAAGGCGCCTGCAATGGCCCTTTTAGCAGCCTCCCTTCTCATCTCCATCTCAATGGAATGAGCCTTTGCCACGGCAGCCCTCTCCCGAGCTATACGTAGCTCGGCCTTAGCTCTTGCAGCCCTCTCGCAGAACGGTTGCATCTCTGACTCTACTCTCATGTAGATAGTCACCTTATCAGTCTCCAACTTTGCACTCTCTCGCAAGTTGCCAAAAATCTTGGCCTAATCCTACCTCTGCTCCCAAGTAGTCTATATCTCAAGCTTCGCACTCTCACGAGTCACCTGAAAGCTTGGTCTAATCCTACCTTTGCTCTCAAGCAACCTCAATCTCCAGTTTAGCTCCTCTCTCACAAGTCGCCAAAAGCTCGGCCTCAAGAGATGTTATTCTCTTATGAGCCAACATTAACTGCTCCTCAGCCACCTTTTGTGCCCGCCTCTCTTTTGCCAAATCCCTGGATACCTCTCCAAGTTATATTGTTCTTGAAAAAAGGTAGAGAAAAGCGACAGCCACCTACAAGCATTCAAAAAATAGAGCATGAAGGAAAGGAGGTGGGTACAAAATCGAAGTTAAGAAGAAAGGCATACCATGGAAAACCCCTCCATCACGGTATTGATAATTCCCTGTAGACCTCGAGATCCAAACTCTCTAATATCTCTAGGAGTCACAGACCTCCAAAGCCACTCCTTGGCCAAATTCACGTCAAAATATGAACACCAAGCCACTACTAAAAGCAGGGCAGCTACATGGAGCTACAGTCCCTATAAAAAATTGCATTGGAGTCTTAACTCCTACAATAGCACTAGAGCTAGCTCTGGTACACACAAGAGTCGCAGTGTAGGAAGGAGTAGGGGCACCACCAGATCCTGCAGCCCAAGAAGCAACCTGACCATCGGACCTTGGCCGAGAAGCACTGGGGGCATTTTTCTTAGGCCTCTTAGAAGAAAAGAAGACGCCACCCTAAAAGCATAGAGAGCCTTCCCCATCGTTTTATCAACAGGACGTCTGTAATCAGAGATAAGGTCAATATAAAGAACCAGCATTGAGAAAACATTATAGAGAAAGTGGGTTTGCCTCCTACCTATCCAAAAGCCATCATAGTCTCCCTCTCTGGCAAAACCCAGAATGTCAACCTATCATCCATGAATGCCTGACAGTTGTCTGTCAGAGCGCAACTTCCCACAGCCGTCAGTTTTACTAATTTGTGTTTCAAACTCAAATTCTATGAGAAAGAAACATTTTTATGAGAAATTTGGTGCCCAAACCGCCTCAACTATTGGTAAATCATAGATCTCGACAGAATGTCCAAATTCAAAAAAAATTGCCTCAAAACAGACTATCGAGCGCAAAGTTATGGTCGTTTGAAGTTTCACTGTTTCTTCATAAATTTGTAATACTCAAGACAGCACCCAGGCGTTGCTTGGCATTGCCCAAGCCAAACACCCAAGCATTGTCTGGCATCGTCCAGGCCATCAGCGCCCAGGCTAGCATCGCCCAGACAAGCACCTTGCATGGCATCGCCCATGCCAGCACCCACAGCACTGTCTCTACTGGTGCAAGGCATCGTCATCCTCTCCATTGGCGCCCTCTTCTCCTCTGTCCAAGGCATCACCCAAGCCCAAGCATTGACTAGCGTCGCCCAGGCCGAGGCCAGCACAGTCACCACTCACAGGTGCATTCCCCCTCCTATTTTTGCTAGAACTCCATCTCCTCCAACCGTAGAAGGGGCACTGCCTAGGACAAAATAGGTGTCGCCTTCTGCTCGAAAGGCACCGTCCATGCCTTTCTTGCCTTTGGCGCCGCCTTGAAGCTTTGCAATGGTGCCACCCCGGAGCTCTACAAAAATGGTACCGCCAACTGCCATGGCACCACGTTAGGACTCGTGTCGATAGACGTTGCCATCAACCTCTTTGACGTCGTCGTCTATTGGATCATCTTCCCCAAGGCCTAAATTTGATTGTGGAGGTGCCAAGACATCTCCCTCATCGGGTTTCATCGAGGCCATTGATTCCCTTTTTGTTCCCATTCTCATATTGGCCTTAAAAGCCCTAAAGAGAGTGCCTAAATGTAGAAAATGAGCTTTTAATATGAAAGGCTGAAATCTCCTCTGAGCTCACAGTAGGTCTTTAGTAGCGAGACATGACAAATAAGGAAGTGAGCTCCCAAGGTACGCAGAGAGGGAAAGCTGAAAAAGCTACCACCATGTAGAACAAGAAATCTTCTGCCTGGCCTGTCTAGATGAAGAGGCTCACTCATGCCCTCAACCCCTTTTGTCATAGCTAGGGCATAGGGGCTAAATGATGAGGCAAAATCCATCTGGGTCCAAACCCAATTCTTAGGTAAGTCCAAATTGGCTACAATGCATGTCAAGTCCAGCTTATGGATCCGGCCCAGTCCAAAGTTCAAGGAGTCTAGGAAGATTAGTGCACGTGGGGAGTAAATACTTGGATAACTACTACTCGAAGATCAAGACTATCTTTACTTGTACTTATTTTCCCCAAAAGACTAGTAACCTATCCATCACGCCACTGCCTCAACCAAGGCTCTGTGCATATAAATTGTAAGCCCTCTCCACATGAGAGGGGCATCTTTCTACATACCTTACACAACAATCTCTCTCATGGCTACCAAGAGCATACCTTTGCTCTCTCTCTCTCTCACCTATTACTTCATCAATAAAGACCATTGGCCACTGTTGTCGTCTTCAAAGTGGAGTGGGTCACCCTGACCGAACTACTATACATCTGTGTGTTGCTTGTGTTGAGCCAATATTTGTCTCCTTCATTAATTGCTTTGTTGATTGCTTCATTAATTATCCTGAACCATACACTCGATTGTTGATTGTGCATAAGCCTACTTTGTGCATCATCAGATGATGTTTTGATGTACTTCTGAAGATAGGAAGAAACTTAGGTGATAGTTGAGGACCGTATTATGAATTATATGGGAAAATTAGTTATTTGCTGATTTTAGTAAATGTGAGATTTGATATGACAGTGATTTTTCGAGAATAAGATATTGCAAGAGGAAAATTATGGAGAGGTAAAAACAATCAAATGGAGTATCCATGATCAGGAATTTCTTGGAATAATGAATTAATTAATTAATAGTAGAGTTAGGAATTGGATTGGTCATTAAATTCCGCAATCAAGTGTGTTTTATTTTCTTTACATGCTTGCAAATTTACATTCTTCATATGGTTAATTGAATGAATGCTTGTGATTCGTTTTGCGGGTGTTGGTTGATTTAGTTAGATATATTCAATTGAATTTGAAGGACTGTTAGAATTTGAAGATTTTGTGTAAATCTCTAAATTGGTAGTGTGAATTTGGGGCATTGGTGCTTCAATTGTCATAATTAATTAATTGGTAGAGTTAGGTATTGAATTGAGTATTAAATTTTGCGATCAAGTGTCAAGTTCTATTCACCACCCCCCCCCCCCTCTAGATCAAGCATTTCCAAGTCCAACATATCAAGATCAATCTAAATTGCACTATCACGTGTTAAATTTTTTTAATAGAATACGACTTATATACAACTTAAACACGACATGACACAATTCATTACCAACCCTATCTGAATTGTATTTGTATTTGATCATCCTAAATTAATGTATCTGAATAAAGACAGACACACTCTCTTTAGGTTATTCAGGACACATGTTATGTACTTTTTTGTAAGTAGGTTGAATAGTCCCTTTACTTTTTTTTTATTTTCTATTTTGACCTTCAGTAGATCACGCATATCTTTTCAAGACTCCCCTCTCTTCCTTTAATTTTCTCTTCTCTCTCCTATCTCCTCTCTCCTTTAATTTATCCTTCTAACTATTTCACTCTCCTCTCTCTTCTTTAATTTCTCTTTCATCTATCGTCCATTCCATTACTACTCTCTTCTCTATCTTTCGTCCCTTTAACTTCTCTTTACTATCTCTTTCATTTCTTTAATTTCTCTTTCCTATCTATACCTTTAATTTTTCTCTCTAACTCTAACTCTAACGTTCTTCTTCAATATATCATCTATTTAGACTTTTCTCTCTTCTCTCTTCTCTCTTCCCCCTTCTCTCATACCTTATTTATATTTTAGTCTCTCTTTATCTCATCGTCTTCATTCAACTATTTATCTTTTCTCTCATTTCCTTCTATTTTCTTTATTTTATTTCTTTTTCCCACCATGTATTTTTGAGAGATTGTGTCAATTGTTGCCTTAAAAAAATCATCCATAGTTGTTGTAAATCCGAATGATTCATGGTGGTGATGTTCTTTGTGTAGCTCATGCTGACAATATTTGTTGAATTCATTGGTAATGACTATGTGAGCTCATTTTTCTCTCCATATTAGGACACACAAAAAAATGAAAAAAAAAATAATATAAAATTTTCATAATAGATGGAGTCAATGTGGCTGTCACTATCCCAAGGAAAGTAACAAAGGAGTATTTTTACTATCCCATGACAGTAACAAAGGCGATGTTACTATCCTGATCAGTAATAGTGGCATTGTCACTGTCCCAGAACCACTAACAATAGAGTATTTTCAAGGCACTGTTATTATCCTGATTAATAACAGTGGCATTGTCACTGTCTCAAAGACAGTAAAAATAGAGTATTTTCACTATCCCAATATTATATTAGTGGCATTGTCATTGTCTCGAAGACAGTTTTAGTGAAGTGTTTTCACTATCCAAGACAAGTAATGAAGTATTGTAACTGTCGTGTTGACAGTAACAGTGACGTTGTCAAATGTCCCAGGCAATGATATACATATACACTACTTTAAAATGTCAACATACTTGAAAAACATTTATTTTCTTTTTTATCCTCAGATAATAGTATTAGGACATTTGTATCATATATTGAAAAATGATAAGAACATGTGATCTTCAATAATAACCTTTAAAAATACATAATGACATTATTAAATTAAATTGTTCATATTCTCCATTCAATTACCATTTAAAGAGAACTTTTGGACTTCTACATGAATAGGTGAACTTGTCAATTGGCTCTAATGTTCATATATCTATCTATCTGTATCTATATCTATATTATTTCTAAAAGTGTCTTGACAAGAAAAAATTTTATTTTCCTATTTTAACCCTACATAACTCTAGAATATATATGTTATCCCTATTCAAGAATTTACATATATTTATTGATGAAATATTTCAATTTATGGCTTATGGTTATCTTATTCTAAAATCTATATTTATTATATCTATATCTATATCTATACTAATATAAAATGCCAATTAATCTCAAAATCTTTAATTTTTTTCGCTCCTTAATCCCAACATCCAATTTTTAATTTATTTTTTTAATCTCATTAAACTTGTTGCATTAATTAAGACACAAAAACAACTGCAATAAGCTCTCTCATGGTTATCCCTTCGTTTTTTTTTCTTATAAAGTCAATCAGGCCCTTTCTATATCTTCTTTATATGTGTTAATCTTTAAACTTTCATCAATATTCAAGTAATGACTACATAAGTATTGTAGCTCAAAGACCTTTGCCATTAGTAATTTTCACATAACTGGCATCTCTATCTCTTTGATCAATTGAAGTTCCAGAGCCTGATTTCAGTTTTCAAGGTTTGGTATTAAATTTATGATTAACTATTAAATATTTACATAAATTCTATTACACCCACATTCCTTTTAACAAATAACCTCATTAATGTTATTAATAACATCATCCCCATCTTTTGCTATTCCAATGAGTTATCTCACTCATAAAAACTAGATGGCCAAAACTCTTCTTTCTCTCTCCTCCTGCTGCATGCTTTCCTTTGCAGATCTGTGTGTCAGTTGATTGATTTCTATCGTTGAAATTTAGAGGTTCTTTTTTTTTTTTTTTTTTTAGTGAAAAGGTTGATGTCTCAATTTGCAGTGCTTCAGTATTAAAGTAGGTTTTGTTCATGTTTGTATCTCCTTCTCTAATAGATTGCTATGCTGAACATGGTTTGAAAATTTCAATTTTCTTTTTATTAATGCTTCAGAGGTTTCCAGATTATTGATTTGCCTCACCAATGAAATGCATGTGCATTTTCTTCAAAAAAAAAAAAAAAAGCAGACAGTGAGAATGGATGCATTTGTATATATTACTCCATGTTAGGCCTTTACGTATGAGATGGATTCTAAAGGAAATTTGTTATTTGATCTTAATGAAACCTTTCCTAAGGGTTAGTAGGAGACTGATGTTGTCTTATTCTTGCAGGGGCCAACGGGCAGTTCCTTTTTCAGATACTCATGGTTTGTTTGCAACTGGCTTTCCCTCAAGCGTTTTTCTTTCCGGATTTCAGCCCTTTCTCACAAGGTATAGGACTCTCTAACATGCAATTTAGGTATCGATCAAATATTTTCTACCAATGTTTTTTGGTTTCATGATTCGATTTTTGTTAGGTGGTACTCTTTATAGGGACTTCATATGTTTTCCTTCCTTCATATATATGATATGTTGAGCCCTAGGTCGTTTTGCCCTATCATATTATTGACACGTTCAATGCCTTTGTTTTTGTGTTTTCACTTTCGAATTGAATAAATAAATTTTGACGATTTATTTATAATGGCATCTATCACTTATATTTTTTTCTTGACAAAATAAAAACAGGTGTAAATAAATGCACAAAAGTTCGGGCCCTACTCTTATGAGCATGTAAATTTTACATATAAGAAATTCAATTTTGTATTCATGTCATGGGATATTAATAACAAAATGGAAATAAAATTCAACGGGTTCAATGTATTTTTTAGTCAAGTAAAATTATCGATGAACTCTATACAAATCCTATGTAGTTATCATATTTTAATAATTTGTCATTAACATTATTGAATTTAGCATATTCGATCTTTTTCCACTATTCCTTGAACTAAAATAAGCTCAATTCACCATATTTCAAAGGCTGTAAAAATAGAGAAAGGTTGTTTATTTTACTTTATTTTTTGTCGCAAAGTGAGATTGCCAACTTTCATTGTTACATTTTCAAACTTCATGCTACAGGGATTATGATTAGGGAGGGAAGTTGCATCGCATTATGAGCATGACGTACTGGACAATGTGTTTGCATCAAATATTTTATGCAGTCTTGATTTAGTCAATAATCAATATTTTTGTAGATTTCCTAAAATCACATAATTTTGGCTTGTTAAACACCAAGGTTTATTAGAACGGTGGATTAGCGAAACATTTACGGTTTTAATTTACATATTTGATATTCAACATATTACACGTATAACGCACATGTGTAACAATTAGTATATATATATATATATATATCATAAAATAGTTAAGTGTTTGAAATTTTATCTCATACATATTTTTTTGCCCAAAATCATCTTATCACTCATTTCTATCACATGTTTAATCATTTAATATTTAATTAATTTGTAGTTTAACATAATTTTTATTTCACACATTATTTATACATGATGGTGGACAGTGTTGAAAAAATTTGTTGAACTACACATTTTTGTCAATATTTAAAAAAAATGGGTAAAAATAAATTTTAAATGATGTAATCAAATAAATGAAGGAAAAAAAATTATTGTTTAATATTAGTAGGATCGATTTTTTGGCCATGCAAATTTTATATTTTATTGTACCTTCAGACACGAGTTTTGACTAATATATACAATAAAATAATTAAGTGTTTGAAATTTTTTACCATACATATTCCTTCCCCCCCCCCAAAAAAAAAAAAATCTCATAACTCATTTCTATCACATGTTTAATCATTTAATATTTGATTAATTTGTAGTTTAACATAACTTTATTTTAGACATTATCCATACATGATAATATACACATGTCGAGAAAATTTGTCAGATTACATATTTGTGTCGAAATTTTTTTAAAAAATAAGGGATAAAAATAAATAAATATATATATATATATATATATATATGTAAATGTAAATTTAAAAAAGTTTAAAAATAAAAGAGATTTGAATATATTTTAAATTTTGAAATGTGAATTTTATATGGATAGTTTAATTATAAAATATAAAATTAAGGAGATTTAATTTTATTTGATTTTTGAATTGTGTATTTGATTTTGTTTAATTTTAAGTTTTAAATTTTGAATTGTATATTGAATGAGAATAGCATATTTTTGTCTTTACACACATGGCTATCCTTAAAATCCCAAAAAATTTCAGTCTGAACTTCTTCTCCTAAAAGTACACAACAATGAACCGACTTGTAAAAAGCCTTTAATTCATTTTAAAATGTAAAAAGCCCTCTCAAAAAGTATAGATATGTGCAATATAGAGAATTAAAAATATTTTGTTATAACTTTCTATTTCCCAATTATAGAAAGAAATTTTGTTACCACTATCTAGCAAATATTTCATTCTAATCGAAGGCATCCAAAAAAATAGAGTAAATTACACTTACACTCCTTAACATTTGGTTTTATTACACAAACACTCCCTTACGTTTCAAAAATTACACTAAGACCCCAATAGTTAGACAGAGTTAACTATCTTAATAAAAAGACTATTTTGCCCCTTTATTTAACACAAACTCAACCTAAACCCCAAGCCATATCCCTAACCCCAAACCCTAATCTTCACTGTCATTTACACAATGCTTTCTCTCTTTCTTTCTCTCAAGGCGAAGAACCAGCTCGAAATCATTGGTCCTCTCTCTCTCTCTCACTCCCTTTGTGTGTGTGAGAGAGAGAGAATGAGTGTGTGTGTGTGTGTGTATATATATATATATCAGCTTGAATTTGTAGAAGAATTGGGAAAAATTGTCAGCCCTCCCCCATCCCCCACCACTACAGCACCCTTTAGTAGCCACCCCCATCTAGTGGCAGCTTTGTTTTCTGTGAGATGGCCGATTTTTCGGAGCTCCACCATGAGCATACTCCAAAATCAGGTAAATTCTCTCTGAATCGTGAAACCAAGCTCACCACCATGTGTTTTTCTGTGTATACTACAAGGATAATTGTTTTTGGGTCTTCTTTTTTAGTTTGGGAAGGCATTTGTTGGGGAGTTGATTTGGAGCCACAGTTGAGGATTGAAAAAGTGTGTGCGTGGCACAAAGAGAGGGGGACAGAGAGAGAGGAGGAGGAGGGTGAGGTGGTGGTTCCCGTGGAGGAGGATGAGATGGTTACACCAAATAGAGGGGTGCGTTGGTGGCTAATTCGTTGAAGTGGTTTTGAATCTTGGTAATTTTGGGAGGTTGTAGGTGGTTTTGATTGAGTAGGATTTTATGTTTGAGGTTGGTGGTACAATGGTGGTGGAAGTGATTATGGACATATTTGTGTAGTGGTCGTGTTGATTCAAGTCATAGTTGTATGGCTGGTGGCAGTGCAACTGTTATTTGACATAGGTGATGGTGGTCAAAATTCTCCCTGGTGATGCTAAATTGATAGTTTGTTGGGTTAGTGCAGAGGCCGCTTGTGTGCTTGTTGGGGTCTTGGGTGGTGGCCTAGATTGGATATTGACATTGATAAATCTCAAAGATATATGAAAGTTAAAAAAATCTTTTTAATAAAATTGTTAACATCTGTTAGACAAAAAAGAAGCCACTGTCACACGTGTTCAAATGTCAAGAGGTCTCAGTGTAATTTTGAAATGTGAAGAGATGTCTCTGTAATAAAACCAAATGTCAAGAAGTGCAAATATAATTTATCCAAAAAAATACATTTTCATGTCACTTCCAACTTTCTTTCTTTTCAACACCGAAAAAAAAAATAAAAGGGCCCAAATTATGAGTGGTATCCCAGTCTCAAACTTAGTACCATCTTTTGAAGGTGGAAATCCAACTCATGAATGCTCATTCCGACTTTGTTCTTCCGGTTATAACATTAAGAAACCACGTAAAGACGAATTGAAAACAAGATTTCAACGAGTATATAAATGCATCTTCTATTACATATCATGTAATACTTGTCTATGATAAGAAAGCAGACAACCAATTAAATATGATCCCTTTTTCACTAGGCAAATTCCACCGGAAACTTGCAATGTTTAGGAATTTGGCAGAACTGAACACGAATAGGAACATGCAGAAACCAAAGGTTTTCTCATTCTTCAGCAGCACTGGCAGCACTTAAATCAACGTTGAGGTCCAGAACCTGCACACACAAAATGGGTCATCAACATTTATCACTCAGAAATGCAGCAACAAATAGTTCTCTTTACAGGTTTTCGGACTTGGTTTGAAAGCAACTTTACGAAATGATGACCTATCATGGCCCCAAGAATATTTTTTCATAGACTTTTCCAATGCCCACTTATGGGAAAAAAGGGAAACGGGTACATTGAAGTCATAGTCTATATCTAGAAACTAACTCTTCCATATTGACTACCAAAGGGACCCCTTGGCTTCTCTTTGAGGCATGCACAGCTGCTATTCAAGAATTGTGCACAACCACACGCAAGAAATACTCTAAAATAAAATATCTCTTCAAGTGTATATAGTACCTAGCATAAAATTTCTACCAAGCATGAAATTTCTGCAAGTTCAATATGGGGTTGTATCATCAAATAAGGAACATCATGTGTCACATGACCCATTCCATAGACACTCCTGAACAGAATAATACAGATCAAATAACAAATAGAAGAAAATAGGTCACAAAAATAATCATTGCACAGATCATACTAGATCCAACCAATAGCAACTTCTATGTTGCTGCTTAAGAAATCTCTGAAATGTACTATCCAGAACCAACATTGGAACTATGGTGCCAATGTCGAGGAGTTTTTCTAGGTTGAAATGGTGCATACCTGATAAAATTGTTGAACTGGTGCATACCTGATTCCTAGGTTGAAATGCAGCAGCATTTCATAAAATTGTTGACAAAGATAGTACCTACACACCAGTGGCTATAACATCGAACTAACCCCCTAATATGGTGATTAATCCTTTTCTAGTGCAATTGCGCTGCGGTAATTTTATTTATTTATCATAACAGCACCACAATTGTCATAATCCAAAGTTTGTTCAATGCAAATTTTTTTGTCAAGGGCAACAAATCAATATGAAAGGAATTTTGTAGTAAAGTTTTTATCATACCTTTCCAGTAATCATGGTGTACATGTTGAGCACATCCACAACGGTTGACTCAAAGTGAGTGGTGGCATCATAGCTCTGTTGAAATGGGTGACATAATTACTAATTCTTATTATTGAAAGCTTCACGTTAAAACAATGTTTCAAAATGGCACATAAAAGAAACTCACAGTCGATATGAAACAATTGTCCAGAGAGGGCTCATTGACTGGTTCATATCTGTCATAAACATCAAAGAATATCTCCTCCACTTGCCCTAGAAGCTCAATTCCAGGCTTTAGTTCAATCTCAGGCTGATCAGTCTCTGCCTCTGTCGAGACGAATGCAATAAACTTCCCCTTTGGGGCAACATTGTGCGAGTAAGAACTACAAAAAAGATACCTACAAACACATAACATAAGATAACAACCAACTGGCATTTAAATTCGTAGAAGTTGGAAATCCCTTATCCAGATAACGATGGATAGTAATTTAGACAATTAAGCTGACCAGTTGCATGGACAACTAGCTAACTGATGTCTAAAAATTTCAAATATTGGAAACTGAGCTAAGCAATAAAAAACATAAAGGAATGACACAAATAGTTCAGAAACCAATTACAGGCATTATAAATATTAAATAAGTGGTTAATCAACTGATCACTCATTGCAACCATAAACTTAGATTTCTTCATTACTCTCTGGAAGAAGTTACAAATCTGATGGCTAATTTTCTTATTATTTGGCATATAAACTGTAGGGAATTTATCCGCGCGTTGGGGATGTCCTCCCCCCACGGAAGGATTTCGGCTGACCTGCGCGCATTCGGCAGTAGCCTTTACCTCTCTTCGGCCCACAGGAGCTTGTCCCACATCGGAAGATAATCGTCTCCCCTCCCTGACATATAAGCCTTGGCATTATATGGAGGAGGTACCCACTAGCCACTTGTTCCAAGAACTTGGCTAATGGGTACCTCCTCCATATAGTGCCAAGGCTTATATGTTAGGGGGGCAGACGACTCTCTTCCGATGTAGGACAAGCTTCTGCGGGCCGAAGGGGGGTAAAGGCTACTGCCGAACGCGCGCAGGTCAGCTGAAATCCTTCTGTGGGGGAGGACATCCCGAACGCGCGGATAAATCCCCTACAAAAAGGCGCCTTTTTGTAGGGGATTTATCCGCACGTTCGGGATGTCCTCCCCCCACGGAAGGATTTCGGCTGATCTGCGCGCGTTCGGCAGTAACCTTTACCCCTCTTCGATACTTGCAGGAGCACGTTCGTCTCACATCGGAAGAGAGTCGTCTTCCCCCATGACATATAAGCCTTGGCACTATATAGAGGAGGTACCCACTAGCCAAGTTCCTAGAACAAGTGGCTAGTGGATACCTCCTCCATATAGTGCTAAGGCTTATATGTCAAGGGGGCAAACGACTCTCTTACGATGTGAGACGAACGCGCTCCTGCAGGTATCGAAGAGGGGTAAAGGCTACTGCCAACGCGAGCAGGTCAACCGAAATCCTTCCTTGGGGGGAGGATATCCCGAACGCGCGGATAAATTCCCTACATAAACTATTCTGTTTCTTATTTTAATTGCTAATTTTAATCCCAAATAAGACAATAATTCAAGACTACAATGTTGATGTTTCTTTTGTAACAATCAGTTGACTGTTTTTGCTTGTCAATGTCCCCAAAATAGAGTATCCAGACAAGATCCTACTCAGGAACAACATTACTACCCTGCCAGGCCTGGCCCAGCCATCCAACTGGAAACCCGGGGAACAGGAGCCTCGGCCTGAGATAGAAAATCTAAACCAAATAGCTATATCATACTAAAGAATATAAATATGTATTTAAACAAGCATGCATATATGATTGCAAATCACTGGATAGATCCTATCTCAAGAAGACATTAAAGAACTCACATATCTGATTTGCGACCCAATTGCTTTTGTGGTAGAATAACCTGCACTGAGTGAGAATCATTGGTATTTGGGATTGGGTGGCTCATAATGCAAATTGCCCTTGCAACCCTTCCAACTTTCCTAACCTGTTACACACGGCGCTTCGCATTGCTTTCAATCAAAATGACACTTAGGTGGTCGAGTAAAAAATATTTACACAAAGATAGTTTTTTGTTTCATAATCTAAAGCCTGCACAGCTATGAAATAAGTTGCCTGTGAAGAAACATGACATATACACACGCTTCCAGAACCTTACAAAAATGATATATTCATAGAGGTGCAAGTTCAAATGCTCTTACATTAGCCCAATCAACACATCAACAATGACATAGTCAAGCACCAACTGAAAGGCCAAATAATGTTGTCAGCCGATGAAAACATTACCTTGTTGGGCAAGTAGGAAGGATCACATACAACTTTCTTGCACTGAGCAGTTTCACCTTCTGATGTGACACCAAGAACCTTGCCTTCCTCATTAAACTCCACCTAGCATTTAAGTAACTGTGTCAAGCCTCACTCTAAAAATCAATCTAAATATTCCCCTAGTCAAAAAGCCAAAATTAAGAAAAGTGCAAAACATGAAAATGAACATCAAAGTTTCTCTTATTTTTTTTACTATTTTTTGGTTTTGCCTTTATGTGCATGGGGAATTTGATACCTTGCACTCAGGTTTATTCAGCATGTACGTCCCACCATATACAGCACTGAGCCGAGCAAAAGCCTAATGAAAGATACAAACAAACATGAAGTAAGTGGACGATTATTCAAAACATTACCAATGCTTCCCCTCAAATAAAGACATAAAAAAGAAAATGTAAAAAACAGAGAATGCAAAACAGAAACAGAGAAGAGGGAGAGGAAAGAAAAGAAGAAACAAGACATGAAAGAAACCGGGAATTGCAAAGGAAGAACCTGGGAGTTCTCCTAGTCCATACAAAGGGTAAATATAAGGTGATCCTCCTTGAAAACGTGCAAGAGACTCCGCATAGAGCTATCACATGAGAAGAAATAAATGTTTTTAAACAAGGGCACAAGACATTGAAA